GACTGCGGCACCTGCCATTTCTTGATCCTGGAAACATTTAATAGCCTGCTCTCTAGCGGACACTTCTGCTATCTTGGCTTCCAAATCTAGCAGTTCCTCTTTACGTTTAAGCTCGGCAACCTGTCTTTCTATTTCTTGTTTTTCCTTAACGGCCTTCAAACGTGCCAGCAGTCCAGCTCTGGCGGCAGCTTCATCTGCCTGTCGCAAAGTCAGAGACTCTGACGTCGTTGCTCTTGTACCTGCTTGGGATACGCTGTCATTTGGCTCTACGTTGTCATGTTCTTCTAGAGCCTCTGCCAATCTAAGCGTAAGCTTTTCCTTATTTCCCTGGCATGACAAACCTCGTGCCTTTAACTCGCGCTTCAAGTCCTTGACGTTCATATTTAGCAGCATCTTGCAGCTGGTCTTATAGCATCATGACACGAAACGAATAGCAATAAAAGGACATGAATAAGATTCATAAATTACCTTGTAGGAGCGCTGATCCATCCGCATCACATCAAAATTGAGTACCTTGTGATGCTTGAATAGGTAGATTTTACGTGGTCATATCGTTCGTATTTAATATAATGAAACTATTCCTTTGTTATGAGCAAGAATAAACTTCGTAACTGTTAATTCCCTGGAGGGATCTTCTGGTACTGCTAATTATAAATATATAGTTTCTTTATACTTTCTTGTAGTCGGAGTCTTCTTGAGTCATAGAGAAAGAAAGGACATCTTCTACGGGGTTTATTGCTTGAGTGACACTCTCATAGGCGGTATCTTAACGCAAAACATTACCGTTTCAATCGCGGTCACCAGCAATTTCTTATCGTAATATGCACTGTCTACATTATATGAATATTTCTCTTAAATGTTTCACATTTGCTATTTCCTTAATATTTTCCCCCCGTTACGAAGTTTTTGTCCTCCTTACTAACTAACTAAAAACCTTGACCTTTCTTCAATCAAAATATTTACAACAATTAAAACACTTGGCTCGCGTGATCATTTCCGGGAGCGCTCTCGTTAGAATATTCAACATACACTTTACGACTTTCTAACAGGTCCCGATTTTCCCAGTTTTCGGGTCATTGACCTGACCTGGAAGGTCACCCAATGACCTAGGACCTTAAAATTGGGTAGCATCGGCTTCCTCTCGTGACGGGCAACACGCTCGTTATTTCCGCGAAGCTCTAGCTCGATCAGGGGCCAAACGCGAGGGGGGTCGTACCACCCCCCCCCCCCCTTGTGCCGTCGAAGGACGCAAAATGGCCTGTGCCGGCAAGGGTTAAATGCCACTTTTCTGTGACTCTTTGTGTGACCTGAGTAAATCGCAAGGGCGCACACAAGGGGGGGGGCACACGGGCCCGTGCCCCCCCCCATTCGAGTTGGGGGGCCCAACTCGAAGGAAGGGGCCCATTTGAGGCGGCCGAAGGCCGCCTCAAATGGGCCTCTAACTAATCCTTAGACCACCGAAGACCGTGTACAAAGGGCCCTCAAATGGCCTTAAAGGACCCTCAGATGGTCTCAAAAGGCCCTCAGGTGGCCTCGAAGGGCCCTCACTTAGCGTCATAGGACCCTCATCTGGTGTCAAAGGGCCCTTAGATGGTGTCAAAGGGCCCTCAGATGGCCTTAAGGAGCCCTCAGATGACCTCAAAGGACTCTCAGATGGCCTTAAAGGGCCCTCAGATAGCGCCTCAAAGGGCCCTCAGCTAACGTCAAACGGACGTCAGAAGGCCTTAAAGGGTGTCAAAGGTCCCTGAGCTGGCGTCAGAGGGCCATGCCCTTGCGTCGAACGGCTCTCCGAAGGCTCTAAAGAGTCCTTTGCTGGTGACAGAGGGCCCCCAGCTGGTGCCAGATGGCCCCCAGCTGGCGCCAAATGGCCATCAGAAGGTCTCAAACGGTCCTCAGCTGGCGTCAAGCGGCCCTCAAAAAGCCTCAAGGGGCCCTTAGAAAACCTCAAGGGCCCTTAGAAAACCTCAAGGGGCCATTAGAAAACCTCAAGGGGCCCTTAGAAGACCTCAAGGGCCCTCAGAAGGCCTTAAAGAGCGTCAAAGGGTCTTGAGCTAGCGTCAGAGGACCCCCCAGCTAATGCCAGAGGGCCCTGAGCTAGCGTCAAACTTAAAGTGCCCTTAGCTGGTGTCAGAGGGCCCCAGTTGGTATCAGAGGGTCATCCATTGGCGTCTAATGGCCATCAGAGGGCCCATAAACACGATCCTCAGCTGGCGTCCAACGGTCCTCAGCTGACGTCAAGAGGCCCTCAAAAGGCCTCAAAGGCCCCTCGACTGCTCAAAGGGCCCTTAGAAGGCCTCAATGGGAACTCAAGAGACGTTAAACGGCCCTCAAAAGGCTTGAAAGGGCCCCCTGCTGATGGCAAAGGGCTCGCACCTGAGTCAATAAGAGCCTTGTCAAAAAACGGACCTGAGAAACCTTGCCGGCTCTTCTGCGGGACTCCCACACTTACCTGAGTGGCCCCCGTTTACTGAGGGGCCCTGGTTATTGATGGGGTTCCTCGTTACTTAACGCCTGGTTACCAGAGGGGCCCATGGTTACCTGGTGGGCCCCTGATCAATTGAAAACCCCTGGTCATCTGAAACGCCCCTGATTACCTAAAGGGCCCCTAATCACTTGGATTCAGTGACATAGCAAGGGAGCGAGGGGGTACGTGCCCGTTCTCGGGTTTAGGGTTCCTTCAAAACCGAGGGGCCCTGCGGCGCCAGTGGGTAGCAGAGGGTTCGCGCTGGCCGCACTTCAACTCGGAAGGACACCACAGGGCTTGTGGGGGCACGTTATTGCTCCTATGTAGCCACAATTATCTTCATAAAGGCCCAATGCCGGTTTCTGAGAGACCTCGCCGGCCGCTCAGGGCCCTAGTAACGGCCAACGAGGGATTGGCTGCTATGGCTCCACATCCGTCTGTGATAGACACACGGTCCACACCAGTGTTTCTAAAGGCACCCACAACGGCAACTGCGAGGCCCCTCGCCCCACCTCCAAGGGACCCCCACCAGCGCATCTTAAGGGCCTACATCGGCGGCTCTGAGAGTTCCCACACCGACGCCTCTGAGGGCCACGTACCAGTGACTCTGAGGGCCTCTTACCAGCCTCCGAGTGTCCTTGCCAGCCTATGACGGGCCACTTTCCACTTGCAGGCCATTTTGCAGGGCCACACACATGCCAATGATGGCCCCACCAGTGTCTCTAAGCCCTAAGACCCCGCAACGGCGCCTGTGAGGACCCAACACCAGCGCATCTGACGGCCTTTCACTGGCACCTCTGAGCGCGCCACACACCGGTGACTCTGAGGAGCTCGCTCGCTTCGCTCGCTCGTAAAATAAATACCATGTAAATTAGGCATTAGTGTACATTAGGCACACTCCTCGGACATAAATGATACTTTTGCTTGCCGATTTTCCACATTTTCTCATGCAAAGACCGTTTTAAAGAGACCCGTCTGCCAGTGAGACTGGACCCACCGTGCCTTCCTCCTCCCATCGAAAGGTCCTGGATACATCCTTGCCTGAGCTGACCCCGGGCCACCGGGTGACTCGCGGGCCCGGGGTCCGCGAAAAAAAATGCTAAAAAAACATGCTAGCGTAAAAATATATATGTTTTGAAAATTAAGCTGGTACCGAAATAATTGTTTTACCTACCATGCATTGACAAACCAATTGCTCAAGCTTCAAACCAACCGAAATATAGCCCCGTGGGCCGTATTTTTTTTTTGGGGGGGGGCCCTTCGGCATGGGGGGCCCAGTTCGAAGGTCGTGCCCCCCCCCCATTCAAAAATCCTGTGTGCGCGCCTGCAGTAAATGGAACGACTTGAAGTTACGCCGAGTAATCCTTGATGAACTGAGTGATTTTGACTAGCACTCTTGACTAGATTTTGACAGTAGAGAAGTAAAGGAGTTTCTATCTAGTCTGAGGAAACCCTGAATGAATCGGAATACAGTTGTACCCCGAGATTGTGCTAGTGGATCTGAGATTCTTGATGTGTGATCAACGGAGGCTTTGGCCAAAGGATTCAAAACACCTGAGGCTTTGATCGTTTAGGTTACTTTCAGCGGCTATCGCAGCTTAGCGAGGCCTCGGCTGTGCAAGGGGTCCCGATGCTCTGACCTAAGGGCCTTCGAGGCTCGGAGCGCCCCCGAGGATGCCAAACGGCTCCCGCCTAATTTGATGGCGCTGGAATTAATATGCGGGTTCATAACGCCAGGTCGAGGGCCGGCAGTAACTTTTACATTTCTCATTAGCCCCGGCTCGCGGCCCGATGAGTGCGCTGGTGAAGAGGTCCGCTTATTAACCGCCACTGTCGCAGCCCGGTCGGATGCCGCTCTGTGCGGGGCCGGCGGGGAGGAAACGCTCCAACACGGTGTAATCATAAGCCCAGAGAGCACCATGAGCCGCTTGCTTAGCGGTGATATTTGAAACGGTATTCAAACGGAGCAGCATGGCATGAATAACAATGAACACAAAGCGGCCGCAGGGATGTCTGAGGAAAAGGGGTGACACGGTAAATGAGTGGTATGTGGCTGGCATTGCGCTGTAACGGCTTAAATGTAATTTTATTGATTTTATGGAAAATAGGCTGAGCGTAATTGAAAGACTGAGCCTGACATTTACATTGTAAATTGCATTTGGACGAAGAGAGGAACATTAATCAAAGGTCTTTTCCTTATCAATTCATTTTTGTTTTGTTTTTCTTTCTTCAATTAACTTAAGCACAGAACTAAAAAGCTATTCGCTGAAGCTCATTCTCTAATCAGTCTTGCTTCTCACGTTTTGCCCACATAAGTGCTCAGCGGACCCCTATGAAAAAGGGGACATCACAATTAGTTGTCCTTCCTGTAGCGTCCGTAATAGATGAACTTGTGCTTTTTACTCGCCTAAGAAGACTCGTTAAACATCGAAAGCATTATTCTTGAACTTCAGATATTGACACCTGTCCTCATAGCCCGGCCCGGCTCCCCTGGGTCCACCCGCGAGTCACGTGCCTTACGGCTGTGTGCCGGCAGGCTGGCGGTGCCTCACCAGTCACGAGTGTGTCTCGGCGCTCAACAAGTGTGACGGCGTCACCCACTGCCCGGACGGCAGTGATGAGGACCGGCGCGACTGTATGCTCGAGCCGTGCCACGGCAAGAACCGCTTCAAGTGCGCCAACGGCATCTGCGTCAACGCAGAGGAGAGGTAGGGCACCGTCTTCACGGGGGTGGAGCAAGGGTGGAACAGTACAGAGGAACAGTATCTCCTCATAGGCGGCGGAACGGGGGGGCACCGGGGCACCGTGCCCCCTTGAATTCTGCAAGGGGGCACCAATAGCAAGGTGCCCCCCTTAAATTTGATGTATTAGTACTAGGGGCGGATTCGGGAAAACTCCAAGGGGAGGGTCATGAATCGAAGTGGTGCCCCTACCTGTACCCAAAATTAAAACCTCAACGGATTTCGGCCACTTAATTTTGGTGGTGCCCTATTTTCAGTTCTTTATTTTCTTTATTTTTGGTTTGTCGTGTGATGACTGGTGCCCCTGGAAAGACTGTGGTACCTACCTACCCTGCCTGCTGACAAGCCTACGGTGGGCCCTGCACATGACTTAGGTGCCCATGGGCCCTGACAGGCCCGTGGTGTCCCTGACAGGCCTGTGGTGTCCCTGGGCCTTGGCGGGTCTGTGGTGCCCCTGGCGAGCCTGTGGTGCCCCTGTTAGAACGCAGGTGCCCTTGACAGGTTTGTGGTGCCCCTGACAATCCTAAAGTGCCAACGACAGGCTTGTGGTGCCCTTGACAGGCCCATGGTGCCCTTGCGAGGCCGGTGGTTCCCCTGCGAAGCCGATAGTGCCCCTGGCAAGCCTCTGGTGCCCCTGGCAGGTCTGTGGTGCCCCTGGAAGACCTGTAGTGCTTTTGCTAGGACGATGGTGCTCCTGACAGGCCTGTGGTGCCACTGACAGGCCCGTGGTGCCCCTGCTAGGCCTGTGGTACCCCTGGCGGGCCTGTGGTGCCCCTATCGGCTGTCAGGCCTGTGGTGCTCCTGGCAAGCATGTGGTGACCCCAGGCCCCAAAGTCATGACCCATGTGACCTCCCCCCGGGATTCGCCACTGATTAGTACTGCGATGGCTTCTTGGTAATTTGATACATGTAGGATTAATGGAATATGTCAAACGAGAATAAGGAAGAGACAAGCACATAGGTACTAGAGGATCAGCTTAAAGTTAACCACACATATGGGGGTGAACTGCCATTTTCGTTTGGTAAAAAAAATCATCGTGTCAGGGCTGTGACGAAAAATAAGTGGCCTAAATCCGATGAGAAAACAGGATTTGGGGGTACCCTAGCCCGCGCCCCGCTGGGCTATTCAGCCATACGCGCCCTGCTGGGGGGGGGGGGGGCAGCAGATTCTGCCCCCCTGTCTAACTTCCGAACCGAGGGTCGTAGAAAGACGGGGAAAACGGCAATCGAAAGCTCTCAACAAGGCGGATCTTAAGAGCCCAAATTTTTTTGCTTAAGTAGGTCAGAGGTCAGGTCAAGGTCAGGTCAAGGGTACAAAATGCAAGTTTCTACATTATCGGCCCTGCACCGTAGTTGCCGTAGAATGGACTGAGACTGATTGCCCAAAACGTGTGCTTAGACTGCCAAGACAATATTCGTTGCATACAATGTCATTCAAAGGTCAAGGTCAAGGCCAGGTCAGGTCAGGTCAGGTCACCAAAAACAAAATATAGAAAAGGGCATGTGCGACACATGTTTCATGGGCCATTTTACTCATAGAATTTAATAGGCACACTCAATAAGTGATATGGACCACCTCTGGATGAATTTCAGGTCGAGGTCAGGTCAAGGTCAGGTCAAGTGAGGTCAAATTTTGAAGTTGGTTGTTAAGGCCTAAAAAGGTGTCTATCTGATGCAGTTTTTCACGGCGAATCGAATGGTGCTATTTTTGTTTCCGTACGAGGTCTAGAACTTCCAAAAAAAAAAATCATTTTTCAAAAATTTTGTGTATCGTGACGTCATAAAATTTTGAATAACTCCCACGTTTTTGAACCGATTCTTCTAAAAATTGGTATGCAGGTGCACATAGACCACTTCTCTGACATATATTCCGGTTTTTTCGATACACTCAAAAATTTGGATTTTATTATTATTTTCCCAAAAAAGTCAGTTTTTTTAGAAAAAAAAAATTGGGCCAAAATCCAAAATTTTCAAAAAACCGAGATAGCCATTCGATAGACAAAGTAGAATCACGTATAACCTTTTTTGTTACGTCTTGATTCCTTTAAAAATGAAGATGTTAGCGGCGTTTGAAATTTTGCCGTTTTTGAGGCGAAAATGGCGAACATGACGTCACTAAAACGTCAATTTCTCAAAAAAAAAAAAATCCGACGGATTTCGCTCAAATTTTCAGGGAACGTGTCAAATTGATGTATGATAAGGTACTGAAAGTTTGACGTCGCTGGCGTAACGCGTTTATAAGTTATTGGCGAAAAACGGGAGGGGGCAGATTCTGCCCCCCCCCCCCAGCGGGGCGCGGGCTAAGTTTGGCTCCTTGAGCTGGTGCCCCCCTTGTCTCAAATCGTTCCGCCGCCTATGTCTCCTTGGCGCTTTTGTTGGTCCTTCAGTTACTTTCCACGGAGGAGGTAGTGCACGCACTGCTGGATATAATATATCGATTTGTTTGTGCATCTACCTACTTTTTAGCTGCTATGCTTATATTCTGATAAACTGGCAACGTGAAACATCTGAACATTGGTAAAGACGCAATACATATAGCACATCACTTTGTCGGTCACATGTGAAAGCTAATCCCATTTGCAACTTATAACACCGTAACCATACGCAATTCGCATGCTGAGCAAACATAAGTAATTAATCCGGTAGATAATAGGCGTACCGTCTCTGTAAAATGTGCCTAAAAAACTTTCAGTAAAAAAGGGTACCACGGAAAACTTTTTTCACTCTGTTTACTGTCAAAGGTACAAGAAAACTTTATGCTAATGCCCTTTAATTTACATCAGGAAATATCTAAAATGACAGTTTCAAACTACTTCGCCACTTTCCAGTAGCTGAGCCCTAGGGTGCTCACGAGTTGATGGGCTATTAACCATCTCGTCTTGTTCCCCATTTGTAAGTGGAAAGGAGGCGATAGACGAACGCGTAAATCGGTCATAAAAGGAGCATAAAATGCAAACAAATCTGCCAAAGTGTCGCTCTACGCTCAGTAAGTAAATTGCAACCATTACTGCTCAACCTACCCGCCGCGAAGGGATCGACAGTATATAGAGGAAGCACAGTAGCAAAAACGTGCATAAAAACTGCAAAAAAGTGACTCCAATCATCGAGGACATTTCAAATTTTTTCAAGCCGCTTTCGCTGATGAGGGGGTTGAGTCAGGCTTGCATGCGAGAAAAAAAAACTGATTACACGACAATCATCACAATTTTGCGACAGATAACTTGGCAATAAATTTACCAGATTCACAACAGCTTTTACAATGTTACGATTTTCACATCTATTTATTCAAATTTATTTCATTTTTTTAGGTACAAATACCATTCAGAAAATAGGCATAAAGGCAACATATAATGGAAATCAGTGCCATAGTGATATGTCATAGGACCAACAAAAGTGCCTAAAAGTACCCTCCGATCGGCCATTGCTTCACACAATGGGCTCGAGGGGATGGAGCGGGACCGCCGCAACACTGGCTCGATGCTGGTGTGATGACCGCCTTGGTACCGCGTGAAATGTCTGCCACGGGGCTGGCACGGCACTGCCGTGGGGCCTGGCTGGACCGAGCACTGTGCAATGTGGTGAAACGTCAGCGATCCTGTGCCTTGTTTTCAGCATTGCCGCTGCAGTGGCCAAGGTGCCGGCATACCTATACAGCGAACGCCGTGCCGCCGCGGCTCAACTAGGGGTTGCCGCAAGGCTGTAGCACAGTTCCAATCCAATGCTAAGAACAAGAACTGCAGTGAGCACAGTGCCTACACCATATTGACACACGGGAAATGGATCACTTTGTCATTGATTTATTATTGCAGCTCTGTAGGAATGCAGTTGTAAGCATGCTTAGCCAGGAGTGGCAGAAGAGGGGGTGCAGGGGTGCAGCTCTCAGTGACTGGTTTGCGGCCAATGGGTTGAAAGTCAATGCCACCAAGACTGAATTGATTGCGTTTGGCAGCCGGCAGAGCATGCGCAACCTGCCTGACATAAATGTAAGATTTAGAGACGCCGTCTTGAAACCGTGTCAAAAGGTCAAGAATCTGGGCGTGACCTTCGATTCTTACCTCACCTGGGATGACCATGTTGCTGCCATTGTTGGTAAATGTTTCGGAGCGCTGATAGGATTGAGCCAGGTGCGCCACTACATACCAGAGGAAACGATTGTGACGCTTGTGACTGCTCTTGTTCTCTCACATGTGCGGTACTGCCTGCCCGTTTACGGGAACTGCTCGAAAGGGAACCTCGCACGACTTGATAAGGTCATTAATTTTGCCGCAAGGGTTGTGTCTGGCCGTCGCAAATATGACCACGTGGCTGATGTAAGGGACGCGCTGGGGTGGCTCTCGGCTGGTGACCTATCGTCGTACGATACGCTGGTGCTACTGCACAAGGTTATCCGAACGGGCGAGCCAGCTGACATTGCCGCTATGTTTCGCCGAAATGAGGAGATGCGCGAGCGAGCGACTAGACGGGATAGCAGGCTGTGGCTACCTGGCATCCACACAGAGGCGGGGCGTCGAAGGTTCAGCTACCGTGCAGCCATGCAGTACAACGCTCTGCCCAGTGATTTTCCGGACATGTCAACAAACAAGTTCAAATCATCGCTCAAACGTCGCTTTCAACACTGATTTAGGCTTATGCATATGGGTTGCATGTATGTCAGCTGAAATCTATTCATGCATAGCCATGCGTTTTGGTGAGTTTTGTGTGATATGTTGAGTGTGATGTCTTTTTGTTCCATTCTCATATGACGCGGGAGCGTAATAGCCACAACTACCTGTGGATGCCCCCCAGATGTTAAATACAATACAATACACAATACAGCTGTACCCCATCCAAAAACATGGGGTGCAAAAAACGTAGAAACCGCCCATCGAGCCATTCAAACTTTTCCTCCTGAAAGCTAGTGATCGGGAAACGAAAGGCGATATGAGACCATCGAAAGTCCATTTAAAGGGACTATCCCACCTTTAACATGGGGTTTGAGTTGAGATAGCCAAGTTTGCGGCGAGGTTCAGAAACCACTATCTATCTAGGTTGCAACCCCCGCGGCCTCTTGGTGTTGAAAAAAATTCGTTCCCTTCATTTGAAAATGGGCCTTGTACAAGGCCCTATCTTCAACATGGAGCGACCGTTAGTGTGACGTCACCTCGTTTAGTCATTCTGATTTAAATGGGTTTGTTCGTTGAAAAATCGCTTAAAACTTGGTCTGAATGTGGTGCCTACAGAGTAAAAAGAATCAGCTTTATGACAGTAATGTGGCCTGGGGAAGGTGGTAATTTTGGGCTGTGACGTCACATATTTGAAAGTTTGTGTTTGGAATATGGGAAGCCTAAGATGTTTAACGAAAAATCAATGCCAAAACCGTGTTCCTGGTCATCCAATCTATAAAGTCGGGCATAATTGAACTGGTTTTAACAACATTTTAGAAAGTGGGATAGTCCCTTTAAGAGCGGGAGCGTCAAGAGCGCGAGCGCCCTCCATCGGTCTTTGGGGCTCCCACAGGCCACAATGCTTCTGTGGCCCCGAGTCGCGTTTGATGCCTAGGGCTGGACCGGACCTAGAGTATTTGGACGACCTGGGCACCAGTCACCACTTGCCGTTCCAGATCTTAGTGACAACGATGTGGTGCCTGGTGTCTGGTATAAACGTGCACTATGTAGTGTCAATAATGGCACTGGAGCAGTGGCCTGTAAAACGACGAAATGTTGACTTGATGCGCCTCTTGCGATGAATGTAGGACGCTGTTAAATGCCTAGTGCCGCACTCAAAGCTTACCAATAACTCAACAGAGACAGGAATTAATGCATTCCTGGCATCACAATTTTAACGTTTATATGCTGCAATAAATGCGATGCTTAATGGCATCCAACGGGCTTCGCAAAATATGACATTGTCGCCAAAATATTCTTACGACATTGTTGTTGATAGGTAACGTGCAGAAAAGATGTAAAAATATTCCAGCGTATATCTCATACTTAATGCGCCGATCAATTGAATACCAAATATATGATATGGGCGGTTCGAAACCGATAACGTTTTGATATTTAATCCATGTTTTTTAAAGATTTTATAACTTTTAAGAGGCTCAACTTATGTAATTGTACCAGCAAGGCCATAAAACAGCTAGACCAATAAAAACGAGCGAGCGCAAAAGTGACTCGTACAGGTGCGGAGCTGAGATACTCCCAACTCATCTCTCGCCCCGTGTGCACCCGCGAGTCCGTGCCGCCCGTGTAACCCGCCGCGTCCTGTGCCCCCCCCCCGCTCCGTGCCGACCCCGTGCTCCCTGTGTTCTGTCCGCAGGTGCGACTGCCACCCGGTGTGTTCAGACGGCTCAGACGAGTGGAACTGTGGCACCGAGCGGCGCTCCTGCCGACCACACGAGTTCAGTTGCACGCTCTCCGGGCCGCCGCGGCTCTGCCTGAAAAGGTGTAACGTGTGTGACGGCCACATGGACTGCCCGCACGGAGAGGATGAGAAGATCTGCCGCGAGTGCCGGCACGGCGCCTTCCACTGCCGATCGGACGTCTGCATCGAGCAGTTCAGAAGGTGGGCAGCAGCGGCGGCCGTAGCGCCTGTGTGGGGCGCTAGCGCGGGGAGTGGTGGTTAGTTTCTGGTTTGACAAAACAAAAACAGTCCATAGATAGTATTGTAGTTATTATGAAATGGTACCTACTACCTAGAAAGTAAATACACCATTTTATTTGCACACAACTATGTCAGGAACTTTGTTTACAAAACCATAAAATATCTTTCGTTTTGGCTCACTGACCACACCTGGAATTGGAAAAGTATATTCGCATGCTTTTTGCAATATGCCTGTCGCCACACAGTTCCTTACATGAGGATGTGTCCACCTTGCCTTTATTTACTGCCACCGAGGATTGGCCCGATCGGTAGCCCCCTCCACCACCCTACCCAGCCCCCCCCCCCTTTCCCATTTCGGTGGCGCGACGGCGGCGACGCGTCTGGCGCACCGGCGATGGCCAGATACGCCGTTATGGGTCCATTCTGGGCGGCTCTGTGCCGTCGGCGCCGCCGCCAAATCCCCATAATTGTTTATCGAGTCCGTTATTTACCGGGTGGCGGCGCGTCGCTCCTTATCACCGCCATTGGGAGGGCCGGTCGGGCGCGCGGGGCGATCGCCGTCCAGCCGGGACACCGCTGATGTGGCGTCGTTTGATCGACAGCTCCGGCGCGCCGATTCGATACAGATAGAGGCGTTCAATTGCAGCCGGTAGCCGGCGGCGCGGAGGCGGCGGATTTTCATTAACCGGCCCGAGATGGGTCTTTGTTTGAGGCCGACTGCGAACTTCGCCAGGAGCCGGCTAAGGTCACCGAGGGTCGCCAGGTCACCAGGCGCCGCGCCGTTTCAGCAGCCAAAGATCAAGTCGTGCCGAACTGCCCGAGGCGCAGTCACCTGGAGACTGGCCGAGATATAAAGGCACTTAGCTGCAGCATCACGCCAGGTTTCCGGACACACCTTCGGGCGGCGCCAGCAACAACACCCTGACGACGACATCCTCCCGGTAGTGACGTCACACCGCCAGATCCGCCGGTGACGTCACACCGACACGCAACAGGTCCGCGACTCCGCCGCCCCCGACGCGCACAAAGAGTCGTGTCTGGCGGCAATAACGAGCCCGCGGCGTCGACGACACCGACGGAGACCGCCGAGCCCTGAGAATAAAATACGGCCGCCCGGCAGCAATAGAAAACATCGCCGTCCGCTGCTGGGCCGAGGGGAGCCCGGCAACCGTCCAGTCTTCGCGGTGGAACGGGAGTGGGGGTTGGGGGAGGGCAATAGGACATGAACGTCCCGATTTGATCTGACCCATACTGGTAACGTCCCAGCGAAACCAGGCACCGTCCTGCCACGCCGCCCGCGCCGCCTGTGCCAATAAAACTGTCGCAACTAGAATATTCAAACAGGCCAAATAATAAAATTTCTCGGCGGCCACGGGGAGAGATTTACTGCGGGTTTTAACGCCGGATTTGATATTTCATAGCGCCGGAGGGCGTTTGGGGCCGCGCGGAGAGTCGGCAGTCGTCAGCCGGCGTGAGCGGCCCTCTTTGTTGCGGCTCCGGTTGCGTGTCACCGTGTGACTGGGGGGCGGTCGGCCGCCGGGCCAACTTGGGCAATATCAGTGGCGGCCTCACCGGGCGGACACGTGAACGGAGATGAAATGGAGCCGCGCTCTCTGTGTGGAGGCGGGCGCGCAGATTTGAGAGGGCGAGTCATCAGAGGAATGGCACCGGCCGGTCGTCCAACAACTTTGGGAAATGCTCCGCGACGGGAAGTGGGGAGCGGACGGGCGGTGCAGGTAGAAGGGCAGCTATTTTCCACCGGCGGAGATCGATGACAATGCGCCGAATTGAGCCGACGGCGTCCGAGTGTGCTATTGGTACAAATGTGAACAGAAAGGCGCAACAACATTGTCGCTGCGTTCCTCCATGCTTATATGCTTTTCGACAAACTTTCTTGACGACCAGAGTACTTTGTATTGGTATTGGCGGATGAATAGGAAAATGCAGATTATGATTGATGATACGGAATGGATCGAAAGCCGTTTGCCAAAGTAAGAGTCTCCAAAGTACAGTCTGTCTTGAAAGTACCGCAGCATGGGCTGCGGCGGCCCGGCGAACTAAAGGTCGGGAGCTCGGTGGTTTGAGAGCCCCAGAGCACGTGACGGCAGTGAGCCAGGAGAGAGTGACCGGGCAGGTCGCGTGGGGTGCCGCTCTCCCTTACTCTTTCCACCCCGCTGCGGCGCCTGTCGCCCGGGGGCACGGGCCGTCTGCGAGCACGAGTGGAGAGCTTGACCGGCTCGGCCGATCCCCCGGTGGCCGGTTCACCCTTGGAACCGTTTTATTCTCGACGAAAAGACAGACGTAGCCAATCTAAAGGATGAGCGCGACTACTTGCATTGTTATCAGAACATGACACATATTGAACACTATGAACAATACTTTACGATCATGGAACGGAACAGAATAAATGTAATAAAACTGAAATAACAATGTGAATAACAACACAGAACAATGTCAACGCAGTAGTTTGTCGAAAATCTCAGATTAACTATGGGTTTAAATCTGATCGATTGATCCAGTAACTTAGGATAAAGTAATTTGTTTCGTATTTATTTATGCGAGATAAAAAGTAAAAAAACTCCCATTCTCACCGCCCTTGTTGAGATTGAAACAAAATAGTATTTAAGCGAAAGCCAATGGAAGTAAGATGGAATGGTAACCTTTTGCTCATAACTAAAGGAAGCCAAAGCAAATCCTACACTTGTGTGTTTTTGTCTTCCTTTGGTTATGTGCCAAAGATTACTATTCCATCTTATTAGAAGTATAATCATTATCATGCAAAAAAAAAAAACACTATAGAAGGCAAATGGCTGCTACATAAAAAAAACTTCACAAAATAACTAACACATTATGCTCCGTATTTCCTATACATAAAAGTTATAGGCAAATGTTTTCATTTTACGATCGGCTGGCCAAGCAATTGTTCGCAGCGCCTACTTCTAGGTAGAGGATTGATAATCGTATACCAAATACGGGGTATGCAGATTTATGCCGAAAGGTCACTGAGATTATGGGTATTAACAGGTAGCGGCAAATTAATCTTCAGTTCCTGAGTGCTCACTGTTCACTGTTCAGTTCAAGAATCAAGATGAGAGTTGAGATCATACGAGGCTGTATGGTGTGAATTTTATTCGTTTAATGATCTATCAAAGCTCCCCCCCCCCTCTCTCTCTCTCTCTCTCTCTCTCTCTCTCTCTCTCTCTCCCTCTCTCTCTCTCTCTCCCTCTCTCTCTCTCTAGTCTCTATCTCTCTCCCTCTCCCTCCACAAGATGCTGAAAATTTTACCGGACTCCAACAAATGTTGCAGAGTCTAAAATAGCTACCAAAAGCAGTCCGGAAGAGTTGCGTCAATCCCCGTACCGGCAAGTGATACGTTTATGCTTATGGCAGTGCACTGGTCCGGAGTCAGAGTCGGAGTCGGAGCCGATCAGCAGGCCGAAGTCAGATTTGGAGTTGCAGTCGGAACAGCGCCGTCGCGACTCAGAACCCTTTTTCTTTATATTTTCGGCTTCAAAGTAGCTGGCTAGATTTATTGCTTCACAAAGCAGGCTCTCTGCACACTGCTGCGTTGGGGGGAAGGGGGGGGGGGCTGCAACTTCCCTCCACACATACCTGATATTGCATCTTTTTTAAACACTTTGATCATTGATGGCGGAATGAATCAGACCCAGATCTTTTAAGGTCGGGTCATTAGGTTACATTATAGTGTTCTAGCCTCAGGAAAATTTATAATGCTCGCCGGCTCTAAAGAATGCTCGAGAGATCACCGGTTGACCTGAGATCTTAACCTTCACACTTACAGGAGGAGGTTCCTCACGGCTTTTTCACGAATAACTCGCGTAAAATACGACCGACCGACCGACCACGACAAAACTTTCAATATCCTCGAATTGATCAATGTTATATCTTTCCTGAAAATGACCCTGAACCCAATGGTCTTTGACCCGTAAATTCCTTCTCGACACCATGTCAGGCCAAAATGCCGATTCCATGCATGTCAGCGCATATTATCTACGCGTTTCCAGGCATTTTGTGATTGAAACATCAGGTCCCAGCACGTGAAATGATCAGGGCCGACCTGATCATTTCACATGTCCGATCAGGAGCCGAACGGCTGTAAGGCGGGTTCCTACGGACCATTTCTATCAGTGGACGCTATAAAGCAGCCAATACTCTCAATGTGTGTCTCGTAACCACGCACACAACTTTCTGGAAGCCCTAGCTGAATCTGAGCGAAACGACGGAGGCTGCACCCGCTGCCTTCTGGCCGGATTACAAGTGTAACACGCTAATGTCTGGCGAGGCTCGAAAGGGAAGCTTCACTTTCCATTTATCAAAACTTTCATGTCAGGAAGAGAATTACTACGCTTAGCTCGTGTCTCTGTATAACGTATTCATAAAACAGCGCCTTGTCTGCCGCACTGGCAGCACCGAGAGCCCGCTCACTCGCGCCCACCCCTCTCCTCCCTCCCTCCCTTCCCTTCCCCCCAAGGGTCAGGCGATCCAGTGGCCCTCAAACCTGACCGCCCTCCGCTGCGCCGGCCCACCAGCGCCACCCTGCCATGCTGCGGTACTTTCAAGACAGACTGTACACCGTGTGCGCTCATTGGCCATGCGGCACAACCCTTCCTTCCCGAAACATGTTATGTAGCCGAGGAAATGACCATATGGTGGAGAAGACGGTGGCGATGGGGATGGAAGATGCGAAGGGCTGTGACTCCGCACTATCACGGTGCGGAGGGCTGTGGATGTGAGCACTGGACTGTGACGATGCTCCCGTCCACAGGTGTAACGGGGTGGAGGACTGTGACGGCGGCGAGGACGAGCTCGACTGTCCCGAGGAGCCGCGCTCGCCGGTGAGCGCCGGCCGGCGGCCGCGGCACCCGGAGGCCGGGGGTCGCGCCGGCGCCGCCGGGCCAGCCGCGCTGCTCGGCGCCGGCCTGCCGCCGACACTGCTGACGCTGCTGCTGCTGACGCTGCTAACGCTCCGCTGAACACACCTCTCTGCGCCAGCCGCCGCCGCCGGCCGGCGTGGGACCGGACTGAGGCAGACCCATCGTATCTCTCACAGCAGACAGCGGCATCAGCTTCAGCCATTCATTCACCATGCGGTCATGTTGATTGGTTATCTCCGCAATCAGCAAGTGACCGGCTGGGTAAAAGAACGGATTCATATCCGAATTTCGGTGCCAATTTTGTACAGGGTGGTTTCCAACATGGCTCAAAGATGGAATCTCAACCATTAAATATTTATTTAAAACAGAGCAGCTTGTAGATATCAAAATGCGACATGGACCCCTTCTTGGTCTGAAGGGCTATTTGTAATTATGGTCGGATCGCCGCCGAACCTGACCACTGTGCGCTGCGGTCTCGCCGGGATCACCATTTACAGCCCTACCGAGTCGTCTCGCTGGGGATTTTGTATGGAGCGCGCCCAGTGGGGGGTTGTATGTAGTGCATGGTAATTGTATTGTACACTAGTATAAGCAGCGGGAGTTGCACAGCAATGGCGGGGTCCGAAACGACCTGGTTTAAGCAGCCGAAGGTCAGAAGGCCAGAGTGCCCCAACAGGCAGCGTTCGTTTTCAGTAAGACACCGCCCTCACACTCCGACCCGTCTGATTCCAGCCAGCCAGTCAGCAGAAATTCCAGGCGATAAATTATCGCGTCGGTCTATGGCTCATCTATCGACCCGGCCGATGTCGCTGGGTCAGTTCGATTTTCGGCGGCTACTGTTCCAGGTCACCGGTCATGGCGGGCTGGGAGCCAAGGCCTTGCATTGCCTTGTAATTTGCGTACCCTCGCTTCCCCTTTTCCTTAATCCTTTCATTCCCCGACACCCACCATCTCCTTGGCGGCTCTGGGCTCCGCACCGCGCCGGCTCCTGGCCACGGGCCGCGATCGCGACACAAATTAATTGTAAGTACAACAGCGAGGCCACTCGTCGCTCCCCAACGGGCCCAAGCAGCCGGTGGCAGCTAATGCTATAGCGGGTATGACGGCCAGCGCAATGGTCGAGAGCTTTGCGAGACATCTTTTTATACGTCTATGTGAAGTGCTATCGAAGTTGGGCGCTTCACCGAATCTCGATAGAGCTGAAGTTTATTTTTATTTATTTACACTGGTCCATGTAGGTATTAGTAAAGTAATCTTGCATGTAGGATGTAGGTGCGTGTAGCGACATACTGAAGTACCTCCGTCGGTCGCACGTCAGTAGGTTTACAAGAGATTCCTGGGTCATTAAATTAAATGAATGACATTTGATTGTGTTTGGGTATTGTACTGAAGTATGTTACGTGCCATGATTTGAGATTGCAAACATTTTCGTCATTTGCATTAATTTTAGGGCCGTCTAATCTTTTTACAAGCCTTCCCATGGAATTAAATGAGGTACTCGTTGCCTTATACGATTCCCGCGCAGCCTTCAAAATAATCAAAAAGCAATGTAAAGTTTTTCGCAATCTTCATCTGCTGTTATATTTACTAAGGTTGTATTTTTATATTACCGTTATTTAAAGAACTGCAGGCTCCGCCTTACTTTTGTACTAGTGTACACCTGTATTTGTTACTGTTCCTGGACTCTGTTTTTTTTTTTCAGACATTATTCGTGGATGGCTTGCAAATAGGTAGGGTAGCTACTTAATCATGTCGTGGAGGTGTGTAAATATGAATGTCTGTGTGTTTGTGTGCATATAAAAGTTATTTTGTAGGTATTTAATGTGGCACACGACGATGCATGAATGGTTTATACTTATAGATACTAAGCAGTAAGCACCATCGTTTCCGTTTTCTGAGGCACACAATACAGAAACATAGCAGATAGGCCGAACAATTTAAAGTTGCTGAAAACGCGTAAACTCAGTTTATGTCAGCCTTCTCCGTGCTTGCTCTCATTTATCATTTCTAAGCATCCGCTGCAATCTTGCCTCTGCCTCAACACTCAATTTAGGATATTGTTCAAGCCGACGAGCACTAATACCGAGCCATGACAAGTTGTCAAGGACAGTAAAGACAGGCGAAACTTCTACGGATTACCGAAAACCTGAGCAACAAACCAATCGGGGTACTATTTTCTCGACCACAACATGTTATAAATCACGAAAGTGCAGCACACAAGACGTTCACCGATAGCTCCTCGCGGGGTGTGCATTCAGTTTAGCCAATGTGCATAAGGAGAACGGGAGAAAGGGGAAAGAAGGGATTGAGAAGAGGGAGGGGAGGATCAAGGGCCGGACTGATGCAAGTACAAAGCGCCCCAGCGCGTGGAGAGGTGAGGTGGGGAGGAGCAAGTGGGGAGCAGGGAGGGGGGTTCGTCAACGAAACAAGTGGACTAAGGAATAATGAAGGGAGAGAGAGAGAGAGAGAGAGAGAGAGAGAGAGAGAGAGAGAGAGAGAGAGAGAGAGAGAGAGAGAGAGAGAGAGAGAGAGAGAGAGAGAGAGAGAGAGAGAGAGAGAGAGAGAGAGAGAGGACGAGAGAGAGAGAGAGAGAGAGAGAGAGAGAGAGAGAGAGAGAGAGAGAGAGAGAGAGAGAGAGAGAGAGAGAGAGAGAGAGAGAGAGAGAGAGAGAGAGAGAGAGAGAGAGAGAGAGGCGATCGTTTAGACGGTCAGATAGACTGATTAGGGAGGCTGATATGGGGAATGTACTGTAAGGGTCGTTCAAATCGTCCAGTGGAATAAAGGGAGGAATGGCAGATACTTTGCATAGATAACTAGAAACTAAGGATGATGGCAGCAGCACAATGTTTAGTCAATGTAGGTAAGGTGGACTGAGCAGCAAATCAGAATATATTTTAAAGTCTGGAGGAGGAGGGAGCATCTTCAGCCGATGGCTGCACGAGTTAGTGAAAACGGGCTCAGAGAGCTGGAACCTCTCTGCACGTGAATGGATGGATGAATGACTTGCTGCGCTAGTTGCTAACAAAATTTAGAGTACAAAAAGGGGAGAGATGAAAAATAACTTATTGTTTAAATCGTACGATGTCATGTCTACAACCGTTTAGTAAAGAGACATCCACAAATTCAAATGATATCATGATCAGTTTTTTTTTCTGTAAAAGTACATTACTTTTATTTCCTTGCCAAGTTTCGTAAGACGTGCCAAATGCAGTCACTGGGGTAAGACAAGAAAATTTCTAAGAAACTACGGCACAGGCGAAAAGCGCAGACAATGTTCATTGTTCATGTCATTACCGAGCGTACTTATTCTTAATCGAAAAAGGTCAAAATTCATACTAAAATGTCAGTGGCGTGCGTTCTCGCAACAGCAAAATTTGCCCCTTTCAATGCAGCAAAGCTCCAATATTCGGTTCGAAGAAACTTGCCAGCTTCACAGGAAGTGTCCATTTCCGACGAAAGAATGTGCGCGCGCTAAGTGACCTGATTGCGAGGGGCCAATATTTCACGATATGGTGTTTGAATAACTTTGAACACTGGTGGATATTGAAGCTGAAATGGAGCATGGTGCGGTTGATGGAGATAAGCGTGCAACGTGTGAGGAGATATGGTAGATTCTAAGAGTGGGAGATAACTTAAAATATGTTCATGAGGAGCAGTGCACTGTCGAGCTGAGGAAAGTCGCAGGTTAGTCGCTGGCGGTTGAAAAGATCGAGAGGGTCTAGACATTTCTTAGAAACAGTAGCGAACATGTAGACTGTAGACTAGAGTTGGCAGCCATGCCTGGTAGGGTGCGCTGACTGGAAGTGATCAGAAACGCAGACGGAAGGAAAGTCCATCATAGTCACTGAACTTCCCACTTATGGCTAAATTGGTATGGAGTACCAACAAATGTCAATGGGGCTTAGTTTTCCTGGAATTGGCATCTCTGACGAGGCTCATCTGGCTGTGGTGTGAATGATTTGTGGCGCCGCCCTGCAAAAGGGCAGAATGCTGACAGCTTCGCGAGACAGCACACGAACTCGAATGAATATGCTTGTGAAATGTAGATCACGGTAGAAAACAGTAGAAACTTTCGGAAAAGTAAGCAAATTAGTAGAATACTGGTGAGCAGTAGGGCTTGACGGAATACGACGGACGAGAATGGCTAGCTTTTGAAGGCTAGTGCAGAAATGCATTCGGAGTTGCCTTTGAATGAGTGATGGGATAGTGCGAGAGCTTGAGAGAGTGCAATGTTCGAGCGAGCAATGGAAGAATCAATACGGCTGTGTGCTTATATTGATAAGACCGGAGACAGTCAGTGGGGAGAGAACGATTTACACTTGCAGTCCGAGACTGATAGGCCGGCTATCCTGATTTATATTTATGCTTATTTTCCACCATCCTTGCTGACGCAATGGACTCACCGCACTAAGGCTTAGATACGAGACGAATGATGTGTTCGATGAAATTGTGTAGTGTCATACAAAAGCCAGCTTGTCCATGTTTGCGCCCAAGGGCGAAGGCGATAACAGATTGGTTGACTGTTGCCTCCCCTTTCCACCAACTGTGCGTCAGTTTCAAGAAGAACGTCAGTAACGTCAGTTTCACTTTATAGATCCACCCGTTCAGATAACGTTGTGTACAATTAACTATGCAGTAAAAGTCATCCAATAGCTTGAAGGTTTAGCATCGAACCCTAAAACCTGCACACTGACTATCGCCATCTCGGCGACATCTGGCCCATTTTTGGACGTGATGTGCCATCAGTTGGTACAAATATAAATCATGCCGGCCGTTTCGCAGCACCAGAATACATGCATACCAGTACACATGATCGTATTTTGTATTCGTTACGGGTCGATATGCTTGTTATCTGTATGTGATAGTCCATTGTCTGTGAATGTGCTATGTAAGCGCGCTTAGAGTAAGGACGTCGCTTAGAACTAGGTGTACAAAGCAGTGCTTGTATGTATGCCAGCTGTACTGTTGTGGTCTTGATGTGTTCGTGGCGCTCTGTGACTTAGACTAGACGCATATTTAAGCGGTAAGGTCCATTTGGGACCAGCCACGCCTACCGTGGTCCGACCAAGTGAACGCAGCCATGTCTGACGAGGCCTAAAGGCGGTGTTTTCAGACTGCTGCTTTGTATTACATACAATTGTATTTAGAGCGTAGACCGGTAGACATCATGTGTGTAAGCTTTTCGTAATAAATATAGTGTGTAGAAAGGGTTTTTGTCTGCGCATATGTAGTTGATTCACGTAGCAAATGAATGACAAACACTGACTCACGGTTACTCTAAAATTGAAATTTAACTGGAGACGAGACCCATACAGCCACACCAGAAAATTTGCATCGATGAAGCCACGAAGAGCCCGTCACTGGAAACTATGCTTATATATTCGCACGTACATAGAAAATACACTAGCATGGCCTACCCGGGGGTACAGACAGACTCCTTTCTTATCCTCCAAGGACACATTGCACCTGACTGGTGGTCTCACAGACATTGTCGGCGGCTCCTGGACTGACCATTGACTCCAACCACCGATCACTGACTCAATTCACCGACTCCACCCATAGACTTTTGACTTCACCAATTGACTCGACTAATGATTAACCCTAGAACGCCTAGGGGGGGGGGGTGTATCAACCCCCCCCCCTGAGGATTTTTCGAAGTGCACGCTAAACGGCTTGTCGTAGCGGGCTGAAATTTTCAATACCCTCTGGGGCAACCTTTGCGCATCTTTTGCCGAAAAAAATTGATCGGGTCATGTCAGGTCACGGAGTTATGACGTCATAAGAGGTACAGCCTCCGGCCGACAGTTACCAAACGTGTGCGCCGAATCCCTAGGTTTTCTGCCGGTGATACCCACATTGTTTGATGGATCATGATGAAACTCCCCATGCATGTTGGGGCAAGCATTGGCTATCGTGTGGTGCAAGAAAATTGACCGGGTCAGGTCAGGTCACGGAGCTATGACGTCACAAGAGGAACAGCATCCGGTACTATTTTTGAAAAGCGCCCGAACCACTATTTTGCTAATTCTTGTCACCTCAATGGGAATATGCAGCAATATTAGCTTCTATAGGGAGCAAATGGACCTCCCAAATCCAAAAATACAATCAGATTTCAAAAATTTAAATTTTGATTTTTCGAATTTCTGCCGCCGACTGTGACCTTGCCGACTTCCGGCGCTCCCAACGCGCCATTTTTAGAGCTAGGGAAACGAAATACATACCAAACGATAGAGAATTGATCAAGGAACACGATAGTGAAGGTTTCAAGTCGATATCTCCCACCGTTTTGCCGCAATCGCCGCGGAAAGTTGAAAAAGTTTGATTTTTTCGGAAAATTTGACCTTTGACCGGTCATAAGTAGGTCAAATGTTGACCTAGGACCAAAAAATATACCACCAATCGCGAGATCTCGTTGAGAGCAATCCGTTGGTTTTTTCCGCTAAGCTCTACGACCTTCCGTTTCGAAACGCCAGGGGGGGGGGTCGTAACAACCCCCCCCCCCTGGTCGTTCGTGTTATGAGAAATGGCCTGGTCGTGCAAGGGTTAATGACCTTACCCTCGTAGTTTGAAAAAGTTAGATCAAAACACTTGTTTATTAATAATTTCGAGCACAGCTCTTCATCAGAATACAAAGCTTAAAATGTCACGATAAAAATCCAATCTTTAGCTCGAAATCAATCTTGTGCTCGAAATTATTAATAAACAAGTGTTTTGATCTAACTTTTTCAAACTACGAGGGTAAGGTCATTAATCATTAATCAAAATGCATTAATATGATCCTCGCACAAGCACTGAGAAACTTAAAGAAAATTGACTCGACTCATATACTCCAACCACTGAACAATGCTGAGCGGCCAGACCTCAAACAACACTCTAGCCATACCTGGCGTAAATTCCGAACAGCAACAAAATAAAGGGCAGCGATTAAGTTTCGAGGTAGCTGCCCTTATAAATTCACAATCTTAACGAAAAATGTGCTTCAGCGACGCTGAAAGGTCATAAGAAAGCATCACGCAAACAGTATCTATGCAAAATAAATCCATACAATTATATCAGTACAAAAACAATCGCTGATATCCAAAACACTGCGTCATACTAAGCTCTATTACTTTCTGGCCAACCAGCCTACTTCCGAGCTTCGTCAACTCACTACAATTCATTCACTTCTTCGCATCACAAATAACCACCAATGGTATCACCGAACAAGCAGATAAGGTCGAATCGAGTTCCCTTCCCAGCAGGGCGCCTACCTGGGGTGGACAGCTGAGCGATGTCATTGGTCAGTGAGCGAGTGACGTCACTGGCCCGAGGTCGGCTCAGCTGGCCTCTGAGCGAGTCTGCATTCGCAGCACGTTGTGCGCCTGCAGCAGCAGCGGTCGGTCGATCATGTGGCCGCCGAACGTGAAGGCGCCCTGCAAAACACGGAAGAACGTTACTGAATGGATGGATAAACCAAAGCAGGGTTACAGTGGATATTCAATTTCTGAACATCGTTTAAAACATGACTGAGAAATCTAGCAGAGAAATAAGAAATCCCTCCCGGTGCAATATACCCACTACCCAGGATGGTCAGCTACATTCAATTTCATTTTCTTAATATGTAGCTTATCATACATTCTAACGTATTCTCCTATTTGGAAGGTATGCCGAATATCACATAAAATCAAATACAACATTCAAAACGTAATACTAAAGTAGATCCACATCCGGCCCACGCCCGGGAAGACCCCACCACCGCGGCCCGGCTCCCGTCTCGCGCGCCGTTGGCCCACCTTTCCGGAGGTCTGGTGTTTCTCGAACGCCTCCACCAGGCGGGCGGCCCACTCTGCCCGCTCGGGGGAGGGTGAGAAGGCACTCTGCACCACCGGTACCTGGCCCGGGTGGATCACCTGCTTCCCCGTGAAGCCGAACTGGGCGCCCTCCTCCGACTGGCACCGTAGTCCCTCGAGGTCTGCCGAGAGATGGGAGGGGACGAGGATAGTCAGCACGATACACGGTCAGTTAGGGCGAGGCACAGTAAGTTGGTGGGAAGAGTCATGGTAGGACGAGACTCGGCCTATCTGCGGTACGAAGCACGACCAGTCAGTGGTACAAGGCACGGCCAGTCTGTGGGAAAAGACACGGCCTGTGGGACAAGGAACGGCCAGTCAGTGGTACAAGGCACGGCCAGTCGGTGGGACGAAACACGGTCAATGTCGGAGACAGGACATCTACGAGCCCATCTTACAAAACACTCTCAGTTGGCACCCTGCCGGACCCTCGCCGGCTGCCGTGCCGGCCTCAGGGGTCACCTGCCGGCGTCAGCCAGGTCTCACGGGTCAGACACGAGGCACGGCGACCTTGAGTGGCGCGGCCGGGGTGGCCCAGCCACAACACAGCTCAGCTGTCCGTCCGACTGCAACGCAGTGGATGCCTACTACCGGGCCCGTGCCGCACCCGACACCGACCCCCGGTACGGGGTCAGCGCCGGAGGGTGGCGGTGGTCAGCGCGGGAGGGGGGCGGTGGTCAGCGCGGGAGGGGGGCGGTGGTCAGCGCGGGAGGGCGGCGGTGGTCAGCGCGGGAGGGTGGCGGCGGTCAGCGAGAGGGCCAGGGCGGCGGTGGTCAGCGGGAGGGCCAGGGCGGTACTGGTCAGCGCGGGAGGGTGGCAGTGGTCAGCGCGGGCCAGGGCGGCAGTGGTCAGCGCGGGAGGGTGGCAGTGGTCAGCGGGAGGGAGGCAGTGGTCAGCGGGAGGGTGGCAGTGGTCAGCGCGGGAGGGTGGCAGTGGTCAGCGCGGGAGGGGAGCGGTAGCCAGCGGGAGGGCCAAGGCAGCGGTCAGCGGGAGGGTCAGGGTGGCGGTGGTCAGCGTGGGAGGGTGGCAGTGGTCAGCGCGGGAGGGGAGCGGTAGCCAGCGGGAGGGCGGCACCAGCCAGCGGGAGGGCGATACCGTGGGAGATCTGTAGGCACTGGCCCTTCTGAGCGTGAAGACTGAAGAGGATATGAGACACAACGGGGGTGGGGGGTGGGGGGGGGGAATACAATACACTACCCAGACCAAAAAGTGTCCGACCTTGTACCTTAAAGTACACATATCACTGAGATTGTTTGCCAACTTCGAGCTTGATTCTTGCGGCTTTTCATGTTTTACCCTAAGTGTTTTCACCTCCTGACCTGATTTTTTTGGAACAAGATCGCAAATTTTGGATCGGGTAGAAAATGTAGAAGATGTAGCATCTACAGCCTAAAATGATTATAAGATGATGAATGGTAGGAAAATCATGATAAGAAAACCAAATTGAAAATAGTTTTGAAGCTAAAGATTTCAGTGCTTATAAATAAGTCTGCACAATATCGTATAAGATGTCTGGTCTGTATCAGGCTTACGGTCGAAGTTCATTCGGTAGTCCTCTTTTTCAATTATTTGCGCCTTTAAATATAAAAACTATACGTTCAGAAATAACGTACTGCTTTTTGTCGCAATGCGATCGCAAGCTCTGAAGCCTGCAAGCTTGATATGGAACAGACTATATGTAATCGCGTGCACAATTTATAAACAGCACTACACAAGAAACAAGCATATGCTCAACTACCCTGGGTTGCACACGTCCAACAGTACAAATACCAGTCGGCCAGTTCTCAGTTCACATTTCGGCGGGCCTCTCAGGAGTGAAAACCTGCTGGCTGCTCCTCTTCACGTCTCCTCTACCTAACTTTCCTCTCCCTGGTCTCCCAGCCAGCTCCCTCTTCCTCTTCTCCCCGACAAGCCCCTCCACCTCCCCCATCCCTCCCCCGGTCTGCCGTCAGCCGTCCCACAAGTGTCACCTTTGCCGCCGCAGCGCCAAGTTACGCAGATTGCCTGCGGCCATTTCGTGCCGCCCATGTCTCAATAAAGACCGATTTCACTTTTAAGTTAGCTGGCCTTTCGCACTATATAACCCACCTTTATAATCGATGTACACGACGTCTATGGCTTGCAGTTTGAACGCCTTGGCGATCATGACGAAGTTTTGTCGCGCGAACAGTAGTTCCCGCGCCTCCGAAGTGCGCGTGGCGCCTGCCAGAGGTCCGGTAGTGTCAGACCAGGGGTGAAATAAGGTCGCGTGACGACAGCTTGGTAACACAGTGAGCTATAAAATGGTAGCGGGTAGGCGTGGGATTGGGGGAGCGACACACAAAGAAGGGCGATGGGCGGGCAGGGAGGGGCGGGGAAGGAGGGAGGGGAGTCACAGGAGAGATGATCACCGCAAGAGGTGTGCATTTTGTTGGTTAACTTTTCGATTAATCCTCACCCGTAGCCGTATAGGAATATCGTAATAGGACGATTACAACCTACTACTTGTAACTTGTACAAACTTTTTGCCTGTACAGCAAATATAGCTCGAATGGAGCGATGGTGCAAAGCAGTGGTTCCAGGGTAATAAAAAGATACACCAACGCCAGGCCATACAACACCAACGCTGCCCGCTCACCGATGTCAGCACAGAAGTCGTCGGAGCCGAATACGAGGCCATCTAGCGAGAGTGGCAGGTCAGACGTTAGTTCCAGCGTCCGCTCACAGATGGCTCTGAGGTTCAGCATTCCCAGAGCCGACTCAGTGAACAAAATGAGATTCATCGGAGTTTTCATGTCTGCTGGCATGTGCTTTCGAAGCCGGTCGACAAACTGAAAGAAAAAAGATGACTTACAAACGAAATCATCACTTCTATTTCACTTGTAGACTGCATCAACGCGATTGCTCAGGCTAAGCTAGTAAGACAAAACAAGCAGCTGTACAATAGGGAGTTTTTTATTAACTTGCGTACAGCTCTCTCATATATGGACACTTGATGTTTCTCAGACTTTCATAGGTGAACACTGAGCAGCTTGTCCCTTGTGCAGCAAATTTGCTCCTGGTCACTTAGTGTGTTTTCGTGAGCGAGCAAATCTTTGACCGAGGCGACTGCAGTTCTCAAACCGTGTCCTATTCACGGCGCGCATGACGCCAATAGGTGCGGCCTGTTACCAGTCTGCCGTCATCAACTCACCCAGGTCACGTGCTCCACGGTGTCCACCTTGGGCAGGTGGAGCGTGTCGGGCAGGCGGCGCGCCGACAGCACGTGCTCCAGGTCCGTCTCGCAGTGGCCACTCTCCACGCAGTTGACACGCACCGAGCAGTCCTTCCCGGAGAAGCTGACGCTGCCCGTGTGCAGCACCTCGCGAATGGTGCGTCGCGCCTCCTCCTGAGCGACCGAGGAGGGGATAGAGGGGCAGGGTCAGCGACATGAAGACAGAGAGGAAGGCTAAGGCACACCCAGACGGGCGATAAGCTCATGTGAAATACTGATGACTTTTAAAAGATGAAATGGAGGACAATTACTACAAAGTAAAAAGAACTGTTAAAACCAAAGTATAAAACATTCATGGGATATCAAAATGTTTACAACTAGACCTAGGCCTAAGCACATGACAAGGACACAAGTTTAACGACCAAAACAACTTCAAATTAGCATTAGCCACCTGTTCATGCACACTATCCCCCAATCACTGGCAGCGGTAATACTGCGCGGTCGTACCCACCTTCCGGTTGAGCGCCACTCCATCCTCGCAGTCGAGCACGATGCAGTCGGCGTCCAGCGAGGCAGTCTTGTCGATCTTCCTGCGGTCGCTGCCAGGCACGTACAGCACCGCCCGCCGCGGGGTGTACGGCTACCGGCGGCGGGATCGTCTCAGAAATAGTGATACGGCGGGGGGGGGGGGGGGGGGGGGAGCAGCTCCGCGGAAAAACGAGCCTGTTGCCCCATGAGGAGAGGAAGCTGATGTTGCATTATTTGAAGGTCCTAGGTCATTGGTTGACTGTCCAGATCAATGACACAGAAGTCACGAAAATCGGGGTCTACTAGAACTTCTCCAAATTATGTTACTGTAACAAACTGTTTCTGATTTTTTGGCCTTCAGTGTCCTGATTTTAAATTTCAAGCCAATTTCGATCAAACATAATGTTTTCATGCACTTGAGGTAGGTATAGGTCAGATCAGGTCAGGTCAAGTTCCCGGCCAGTAGCCATCCTGCAAGTGCCAGCTATCCACAATAGTTAAAAACCACCACTGACAGCTTTATATTTTATAACATGTTGCATATTCACCAAAGCTTGAGCTAGTTCTCAAATGTTCAACTGGGTGCCGAAATTGAAATCAGCCCCCACCCAAGAAGAAAAAAAATACACTGAAAAAACTATACATGTAAGACTTGAAAAAGTTAACCAAGGGCATCTAGGATCAATGACCTTGACCTGACCCTTATGTGGCCTTAACACTGCCCATAATGCATGGGATAGCTTTCACATGTTGGCATATTTATAATTACAAAAGTTGGAAATGCTTATGCATGCCAACTGCCAACATACCATCAAATGCCAAATCACTATAGCAGACATGATCAGTTGGGCAAACTAGACTTTTGGAATCAAAATATGGAGGCATCAATAATTTGATTCTGGTGGGAGGAGCCTTGACCAAATATGGGCATGGAATCAATTTTTTGATTCATTTGGGTACACTTTTGACTTCAAATGTATCGTTACGGTTGAAAAAAGGCCCATGACGGTGAGATTTTTTTTTAAAAAGGTAGAAAAATGTGGTAGGTTTCCAAAAAGTGTTACCTCAACACTAAGAAATTGTCCCTTTGGCCTTGTGAATGGGAAAAAGACAGAGCCACTGTCCATCACGTAAAAGCTGTTTTGAGGAAATCACACTGTATGTTATTTTTGTATCATGAATCACATACTAAACAATCAGTATTTGTGTAAAATGGCAAAATGAAATTTTCTAACCCCTAATTATCATTGTTCTAGTGCTTTTATATTTATTATATGGTTTTTACCTGTTGCTTCAGTTTTTGTATTCTTGACATTTAAAAATTGTGAATTGTTATCAAATGTAGTGAAGGTTAAGTACAACAATGCTATAGGTATCTGTTGTGGTGCTGAGGATACCACTGAATGAGAACAATAGCAAGATAAATGATGTATTCCTGCAAGTCATTGTTGCCTATCTCTTAACATTACCTGTGAATCAAAATAATGATTAGCCAGCTGATGGGGAATCAATATTATGATTATCTGTTTAAAGTGAATCAATTCCTTGATTGCCTTTCACTACCTATATAATTCAAATTGTTATGATAGGAGCAATATTATTTTGCTTAGGAGATAGTTCCAACATTTCTGTTCAAGATCAGGCATGCTCCTTCTTGAAACACTCTCTTATATTTATGTGATTGGTAAGTTAGAAATGGTCTGCATTTATGCCCAAATATGGTCATAAGGAATCAATCTTTTGATGCCTCCATATTTTGATTCCAAAGGTCTAGTTTGCCCAACTGTGATCATGAGAAACAGGTCATAAGTCAAAAGTCATCAGGGCAGGGTCATATTGTTTCCAAGATGTGGAAAATTGAATAATCCAAGGGTACCTAATGGAAGTTTCAGGAAAAAAATCAGCCACCTTTTTATCTAATTATTAATGACAAACAGAGGGGAGCAGTCCCTCCTACCCCCTAAAGTGTGCGGGTTGAACTAGCTAAATGCTGACCAAATGCATCTGTACATCAATATCACTTGATGTCTTTATTCTACCGAACCTAAAAAATGAAAACTAAAAGCAAGACAAACCTTCAGTTGATCTTGCAACGAAGTTGAAGTTGAAATGAAATGTCGCTGAAACAAATGACTTGCTGGCTTGTCCCAAAGACATCTTACACTCTTGGAAATGCAACGCATCATATTCACAACAGTAATGTTATAAATCTTCAACTTCGTTTTGCCCTCTCTACCTCTAAAAAAAATGTCTTCCACACTTGTTCCAGTTCCACACAAATGTTTTCCAAAAACCGCCCCGCCGCCTACAATGCCAATGGCTTGGACAATGCTGAAGCATCTTGCTGTATTTTGTAGCAGTCGCGCAGTTTTTGAGTCGTCACTCTTTGAGAAGCAACAAGCAATTAAAAACTTTCGAAGGGTCTTCCTAGCTGTGATATTAGTAAGGCATACAAGCTGCGATATTCGTAAGATATTCAAACTATTCGCTGCATCCCAGTTCCCACCCTAATAAATGTACACTTTTCTCGAAAAAAGAATCTTGCTTTATTCGCCTATGTTTGATCCAGGATGAAATAGTTATCAAAGCCATGGTTCTCAAACGATGAAAACTGGACCAGGTGTTCCGAGCGCAGTTTTTCCGCTAGCCGAAGTAGCGTCGAGTACATACCTACATTTGGAACCGTCGCATCAATAAGCTTGTAATTGGAGATCGCAAATGATCAAAATAACTGAAAGATGGTACTTTATTTCCAAGCAGCATGAATCCAATGCCCTAAAGGCCAATTAGACTAGATATATTTGACAAGAAGCTTGCGCAAGGTGTAAATTTAAACCAAAATGAACCAAAATAAAACCACAAAACCAATAAAAACCAAGAAGCCGAAACTTTACCTACTTCACCATCATTTATTTACACCACAATGCATATGTAGTAACGAAACGGTAGTGGATACACTCATACGGCATACCGATTTTCTTATTCTTTTTCAGCAGGCATTTCCTTCTCCATCATCTCATTAGTCATTTGTCGCAGCTTAGCAAGAGCCTTGGCTTGTTTCTCCTTCTTCTTAGCTTCTTTAGCACGCTTCTTTTCCTCCAGTTCTTTCTTCTCTAATATCTCTTTGAATCGCGGGTCTTTTGAGTCCACTTTGAATCCGAGATATTCCTTGACTTCTTCAATCAGCCTATCGTGCTTCTCCTTCGCTGCTTGCAACTCCCTTTCCTTCTTCCGCTTTTTCTCCAAAATTTCTCTTTTCCACTTCTCCAAGTTCTCCATTTTTGCATCGATGGCATCCATCCTCTCCTTAATCGCCTCCTCCTTAGCCCGTTTCTCTGCTTCATGCTTTTGGACCATTTCCTGCAAAGTGTCTGGATAGGCAAGGGACTCATACTCCATCTTATCCTCCCACTCTTTCTTCACAGGCCACCCGACGGCCGGACTGATCCCAGTCTTGGTGCCGTACAGGGCCCAGATCCTCCGCTGGGCACGCAGACTTCTCATGTGCGCGGTCTCCTCGTCTACCACCGGCTGCTTGCCGTGGTACTTGCGGTAGTGCCAGTCTCGCAGGCCGGACACGTTGGTGTTGACGGGCGGCGCTGGCAGGCCGGCCGTCACCGCCGGCTGGTCGTCCTGGTCGGCCGCCGTGGAGACTGGACGAGAGGCGAGCCTCAGAGCCCGCCCGCACAGCCTCGGCACGCCACCAGCACGCACAATGCCCACGGGCACCATAACCGAGTTACTGGTACAACAGTCCGCAAATCAAGTCACAAAGTGACTAGTTCTCACCCAGCCTCAAAAGAAGGACCTTTTCATCAATGGTAGCCTGAAACAGAAAGAGGAAATAGCAGGCCAGTGTTACCAAGGCCATTCTTAACAACAGGAAAAGCACAATGTTGATGACCATGGTAAACCTTTGCAATGCCCTTCCCCATTGCAAATGCCAGAAGTGCTATGTCTTAGGTAAGCTACAGTGTTCTAAAATTGGATTTCGGTTGGGTGTGCCGATGAAGAAAAAAATCCTAGGATGCGAAAAAAGGAATTAAAAAACCGAAGTATATTTGCAAAACGGTGTAATGCCAATTTGTATGCCAACTGCCAAACCAGGATTTCATGTCAGAATCTTGACAGGGCGTGAAACAAAAGGATGTGGGTGCATCAACTGTCAAGTGACATGTAAACTGGCTGTTGGGAATACATGAAACTTTTTTCAGAGATGAAGTAAGTTCGGTCGTTCATATTTTAGGGATGAAAGTATTAAAGTATTTTCCCCATTAGGTGTGATTTGCCACCAAAAAGTCTGAAAAATGGAACACTGGTAACAGGCCCCAGCATGGTACTGTGCTGAGCAACTGTGCCTGTGCAGCAAAGCCTGAAAAATAATATGCACACAGAACACATGACAGGGTCTGCCAGAAAAGATTTTAAGCTATTAGTAGAGCAGACGTCAACTAGGTTTTCCAACCAAGGAGAGGCGCCATACCCGGAGGCCGGGCCGGAGGTGCTTCTTTCAAGGAAAACCTAACCTAACCTACAACCTAAAAACCTACAACTTACAAACTGAAACCAACCTGAACCCTACAACCTACAAACCACGGTATATGCTACAAACCGGTGCTACAAACCTACAGCGCCTCTCCTCGGTATATAGGGCCTTGCTCGGTTGGAAAACCTTCGTGTGACGTCTGCTCTACAAATGCCCTAGATTGTTCAGCCACTACCAACGAGCATATATTATGTGCTGCGGAAAGGCCTTACGCATTTTATCTATTTCTGTATTTAGGGCCTTGTCTATTTCTATCTTCAACAATTTAAACCATTACAATTATGATTACCCTGATTACCCAAGCACAAGCATGTCCTTCGTCACATAGGGGAGTATTCTCTTTGACCAGCAAACTGTCACCCACTTTTCGTCCTCTCATTCGCTGATAGTATAAGCAGGTTTTGTTTGACCAATGAAAGGCCGAGAAACGCTTACAAGCCAGCAGTGCACATCTACAACAGATTATTTGTCTAATATACTTCAATATTGTATTAGTGTTGAGCTTCCAAATGTGCTGCCATATTGCCAGTTTTCCTCCACGTTTCTTTTACGCAAGGAATTCGCAGAACTGAACGAGGGTCCACACGTGGTGCGTGCAGACATTTCATTGTGGGACTGTATAGTTATGTTTAAATGATAAAATTAAATCATTTTTATGCACTCTGCACTTATTCGGTAACAGTTCGCGGGGCTAGTAGGGGATGCGTATGTTTGATGTGTATTGTGTATCAATCCTATGCTGACCTGGGAATTTGGGAACGAATTGGAATGGGAAGGTATATATAGCCTTGGGGAAGGTGCCAATTGCCATTGATATCAACTGATCTCAATCTCACTGACATCTCAATCTCTTGACTCTTCAGCTTTGAAACAAAACATTTTGTCTGGTTAAGTTACATCAACAGCCAAAAGGGTACATATTGCGCTGGCAACAGTCGGGGAAAGTATGGTAAAATCTGCTATTTTTAGCAGTCTGCTATTTTTAGCAGAAATCTGCTAAAAATGGGTACGCATGTGACGTCATCGTACCCAAATATAGCAGATTTGGGTACGGCCCCATACAAAAGCAGATCTGCACCCTAATTAAAGCAAATGCGCATCAAATGCCTGGCAGATTCATGATGAGAATAGTGCTGAGAATGTCCTATGATATTTTTGTTCAGATCCGACTGTTTTCAAATAATGAATTTGAAAATAGTCGGATCTGAACAAAAATAGCAGAGATCACTCTCAGCACTATTCTCATCATGAATCTGCCAGGCATTTGATGCGCATTTGCTTCAATTAGGGTGCAGATCTGCTTTTGTATGGGGCCGTACCCAAATCTGCGAAATTTGGGTACGATGACGTCACATACGTACCCATTTTTAGCAGATTTCTGCTAAAAATAGCAGACTGCTAAAAATAGCAGATTATACCGTAAAATGGGGTGTTAAGGGACAGTGGGGTGTTAAGGGACAGTTGCATGGGAAAAACTTTGAGTCATATTAACTTCCTAATTTGAGAAGGTTCAATAAAAACTTCAGTGTGGTAGTTGACACTGTTTTGCTCTTGACCATAGGAGAAAATGGTATGGTTTTTCATGCAAGTGATTTGGTTCAAAAATGGATTTGAAAATCATGCTACATTTTCACAAAATTGAAACATCTCCAAAACTCTGTGTGTACCACATAAACTAGTGGATGTACAGGGAAAACGAATGCATAGGTGTATTGTCACATGTATTGCACATGTTTCCTGAAAAACTTGTGCAAATCCACCCATTCATTCATCATCCTCTTCCTCTTTTCCGGATACATGCCCATTTTGAGGTGGATGTGGGGTGCTAAGGAACAGGGAAGAAAAAATAAAAAATAAAATCTGAATACAATTTAATTAAGTAGGCATGAAAAACACCAAATTCCACATAAAATGCTGGCAAGTTCATGCTTTTATCTCTAACACATCTTAAGTTATGTAACAAAACATCTCAACACTGTCTTTTACAATGATGGGTCAATGGAGACTGATGTAAGTAAATGTGATGTCATCATAAAAATGCTAAAACAAAGAGGGCAACATAATGACAAGTGACAAGCTTCAACATGGGTTTTTATTGATGACAGAAGATGACTTTTTGGTTCTGTTTACCTTATAATTAGCACATTTTCCACAAGCGTAAACTGCATTACACGTAATTGGCTAAAAAGGTCATTAGTGGTGAATGAACCTGACTTGTTTTGTGACAGAATATGCAAAACATTTCAATAAATAAATTGTGTGCCCTTCCACACCCCAATTGTGGGCATTTGATGACCATTTCTTGGAATAATATAGGTGTCCCTTAACACCCCACTTTGGGGTGCTAAGGGACAGTGATGAAAAATAATAAAAAATAATATGCAGGTATAAATCTTAAAAACTTTAATGTGGCAGGCATGTAAAGTACCAAATTCCACATAAAATGCTGACAATTTGATGCTTCTATCTCCAACCCTTCTTGAGTTATATAACAAAGCACCTCAAAACTGTCCCTTAACACCCCGTTTTACGGTACCATAGTTTCCCCGACTGGCAAGTCTCTGGCTCACACATTTTGATTTCACTATAGTTTTGATGCAGTGTTCTTAATATCATTGAATACTACCAGTATTACGCCTTTTGGGGCGACTAACGGAGCGAGCGAGAGGGTGGGCCTTGCACGTGCAAAATTTCGAGGGGGTACCTCCAACTGACTTGTGCACTGCACCCTACTAACCCGTCTCTAGCGATGTGCCAAATTTGAGCACAATCGGCCCAGCCATTCTCGAGATCTGGAAGC